ACAGGCGGTGGTATCCCAGAACTATCAACTGGAGTTTTGCTCCCTGTCCCCACCTCGCTTTTTTTCCCATCTTCTGTCATTCCACAGATTGACAAATTTCTATTGAGCCCTCTCAGGTCTTCTGAATCAAGATGTCATTGCCCCAGTTCTGTGGTGGAGCAAATTCAGGGTTTTTCTTCCAACATGTTCATTGTTCCCATACACAAAGGGGCCCCCTTTTTCGATCTCTCTCTCTCTAATTCTGAATGTCTTCATTTGAATACTGGAATTCCCCATGCCCGTATCTGTCCTTCACCAGGGAGACTTTCTAACTTCTGTGGATGTCAGGGACCGGGTCAGGGGTTTCTAGCAAACCTTAGTTTTTCTGTGGGGGCCCTATACTATAATTTTTGGTTCTAAAATTCTACCTCTCGTCTCCACCCTGTGTATTCACCAATGTGTTATCCCTTCTCTTAGCCCTATTGTGCTCTCTCCAAAACCAAACCAAAACAGGGCAAGCAGTTCTGGCACAAGGCCTGGTCCTCCACGCCTGCTAAGACCTGAAGTAAGCTCTCTGCAATGAAGGCATGCCCCTACTTTTACAGGGGGGGGGCTCCCTTTAGCCTTTTCGTCAGTCTAAATGAGGGACATTTCTGTAGCCTGGGTTCAGTGCCATTGCTAAAGGCTACAAACTGGAGTTTTGCTCCCTGCCTCCTCCTCGTTTCTTGCTATCCAATTTGCCTAAATCTCCTCAAAGGAAATCCACCTTCCTGTGAGGAGATTTAGGCAAAAAAGGTGGATTTCTTTGCTGTCTTAAAGAGTAACTCTGCTTTTAAAAATGACAACAAATCTTTAAAAAATGAATATAGCTTATATCATTTTCACACAAGTCATTTTGTAATTTATTGAAAATTGCCTTTCAGTTTAAAACTGTAAAAAAATTAAATGCAATATGGTGACCTGGAGAGGTTCCGTACGCAGTTGGCATGTGGAGCACCCCAGAAATGTCACTTCCTGCTTCTGTGATTGGCTGACTGATTTTCTCAGAAGTCTGCAGAAGATACAGCTATAATTTTTGGCATCCCTTACATATGGAATTTCTTTTTTTGGGAGATACTTCCTAAGGGTTCATTACTTCTAAAGGGATGCAAACACTGCAAGCTGGTTATAATGAACCCAGAAACTCCCATTCAGAAATCAGTTTGGAAAGGACATGCTGCAACAAACAGCTTTTTCTTTGTAGGAATCTGCAACAGTGTTTGTGTAAATCCTTGTAATATATACGGATCACCCAGAGTGTAATTACTCCTATTAAACCCGCTCCTCTTTTAGGGGGTTATAGTCCCTGTTCCAGAGGCAGAAATGTTCCAGGGGTTTTTGCTCCAACCTGTTTAAAGTCCCCAAGGTAAAGGGCGGGGTTAGCCCTATCTTAAACCTGAAGATCCTCAGCTGCTTCCTACAGGCCAAGAGATTTCCTGGCCTTGATGGACATCCAATATGCTTATTTTCAAGTCCCCATTTTTCCTGCTCACTGTCACTGCCTGCATCTTGCTGTCCGCACCCAGCATTTCCAATTTGTTGCTCTTCCCTTCAGTCTGTCCACAGCATTTTTAGGTCTCCAAGATGCTGGCCTCAGTCTTGGCCTTGCTGCCCTCCCAGGGGATCCCCGTAGTGTGCTACTTGGGCAACCATCTTCTCAGGAAGCCATCAGCCCTGTCGTCAAGCTTTGTTTTGTGTCCAGGTTCCACTTTCGCTCTGGTTTTTGTAGATCTGTCTTAAACTTTATAATTATTTCAGTTCGGGTTATTTTGATACTGCGAAGATATTGAATTGCCCAAAGGAATGGCCTATTTACAGCCTTCTCTAGGCTGGCGGGCATCTCATCAGTAACAGTAAGAGATGAGAGCTGCCTGTGGTCATATGGCCATTGCACCAATCACACCTGCCATGACTCTTCTGTCCAACATAGCTGTAGTTTACCTTTAATGTATGTGCACCTATAGCATTGCTTTCTTTTGAGTGAGGTCTTGGTAGTGCATATATTTAATTGCTAATCCAAATAGAGTGTAAGTAAAGCTAAAACTTTTATTTTCTATAAAAGAGTTAAAATCCCTAACAGGGTACTTATATTTTTTGCTGCCTGTGTCCCACTGGGTAGAATTCCTTTCACTTCCTGTTCTGTAGATGTAATAGGAAATGAGAGATTTCTGCAAAGTAAACAGAATTCCCAGTTCAGAGAGCGGTCGCAGGCTTCCCCTTTTAGAGGATTTCCCACACCTTGCTCTGCTGTAGTGACAATCCTGAATTTTTATACATTCCCTTCCTTTTTTATATTTACAATTGTCCTCAGGACAAATAGAATTGGGGAAAATATATCTATTTTTTGTAATTCATCTCAATAACTAACAAACAGTTGTCTAGTCAATCCACAGAAACATAGAATATTAAGTTACAATCTGCAATAGCAACACTCAAATAGACTGCTTTATAGTGTGGGCACCTTATAACGACTATCAATGCTTCCCTGTCTAAAGCTGGCCATACTCCTATATACTTTCTATGGTCAGATGGAAAAAGTGCAGCAGATTCCTCCATCTATGCTAAACTGTGTGCATGGAGGAATCTCCCACTGGGCCAAGCTTCAGTATCTTGCTAGTCAGTCAAAATACCTGAACAACCTGATTGGATGCAGACATTGTTCGGGTATATTGAGAGCCAGCGGGGCAGACTATCAAGATACTGAAGCTCGACCCAGTGGGAGATTCCTCCATCCAACCAGGTTAGCGTAGATGGAGGAATCTGTTGCACTTTTTCCATCTGACCATAGAAAGTCTGCAGATAATCTATAGGTGTATGGGCAGCTTAACTACAAGTGTAAAATGTAAACCCTTTTTTTTCTTTTTCTTCAACAAACAATGTAACCAAACAAGCAGAGTGAAGGAGCCAAGAAAAGTTAGCAAACATTCTAACCGTTCTCTACTGCATCCAAAGCGTCAAAATAAGAAAATGCTTTTACTTAAACTCTGATTCGATGTCATAATATTTTTACCTAATTTTATATAATTTTTTTTTTTTAGGGTGGAAATAGAGGACAATGTGGGTGCTTATGTCCGGGCCTTCCAGCAGAATATTTCAGACCGGACAGAGATGGTAAGTACAGTAGGTGTGGCAATCTCCTCAGATTCAAAAAGCCAGCTCCAAAAATATTAGAGTAATGTATAGAAGGATTATACTAATTATATAGCATTATAAAGTGCTCAAGTCGCATAGAAACAAATGATTGAATGATGGATTTAATAAGGGTAAGTCAGTTAAAGTGGCAAAGTCCCATCCCCCCCAATGCTAATGTAAGGACCTACCTTAAATGATGCCTCTTTATTTGATTATCTTCTTTCCTGTAGTTTTTAGCTGTCCCTCCAGCGCTGGTGCCGGTCTCCAATCCAGCGCTGACTGCTCTGTCCTCTTATTCTCTGATATCCCGCGGAGTCTGTCCGGGTGCACGCTGCTCCATAGACTTACCTTGTGTCTCTCCTCGTCTCCCGGCCAAACATCTGAACTGCGCATGCGCCCGCCCCAAGATCCTTTGCTGCCGCCCGAGAAATAGGAGCACGCGGCGGAGACACAGGTAAGTATTAACCCTTTGAAAAAGTGTTTTGTTTTTTTTAAAAATCGTTTTGCATATATCTACTGCTTGCTAGCAGTAGATATATGCAAAAACATGCGAGGGTTTAATAACCCTTTAAGCTGTTTTTATTACAGACTTCATTGATGTAAATTCAAACCTATAGCATTGGGTTGAATTTTAGTGTGTTATTTAGCAGTATGTGAAGTTGTACACTAATTGAAGGTGTCATAGTTGTGATCTGTTGGCGATAAAAGTCCCTAACGACTTTTATACAGGAGAAGGGGACATGCATTCTTAACATAGATATAAGCTCAATTTAAAAAATCCGGTTTTTACATTATATTTAATATTTTTAAACGTGCAGCTATTCTTAAAATAATACCTGATGATCCTTCCATGAAGGTGTTTGTTTAGGCACTTCATGTTAAAGGGTGGCAACACTCTGTCCCTGTCACCCAGTTAGTCTCCTGTGTTGTCTCCCCGTCACATGCACCCTTGGCAGAAGCTGCTAGTGTCTGTTCCAAAACACCTAGTGCAGGCATGTTCCGCCATTGTCACCAACCAGGAAGCCTGTCCATAGTGCATGAAGACAGGAAGTGGCTAAAAAAGTCCGAAAGAGTTTAGCAACATTGAGAGAGGGGACAAAAAGGAGAAATAAAGGTATTTTGTATATTAAAAAATTTCAGTTTTATACACAGGGCTTTAGCAAACTCGATGTCATCCAGTTAGGGTTTATATGATTTTAATCTTGTACCCAAAACCATTGTGCCACAGGCCCATAAAGCAGATTCCAGTCTTGTTAGACAAGCATGCTCTGGAGAAGACCATGGACTGTTTGTGCATCTAAAGGAGGTGCCATCTGGTGATCAAAAAATCCAAAAAGTTCCTGTGTGCACCATTATGATATGTACAGATGTGTACAGATGTAGCACTCTTGTCCGGTCCTGTGGCAGCACCTCTCCAATGTCATGATGTACGGTGCAGAAACAAGGGTCCTGCATTGTACGTGAAGACGTCTAGGGCCCGTCCATATTGCAAGACCAAATGAGTGTTCCAGGGGTGCAAGGAATAAGGGAAGTATTTTTCATCTCAAAACTACCCCTAGAGTAAACAAGCATTTAAACCTTGCTGTCCAAGGGAAGTGGGGATAGGGGGGCACATAATACTAAGTTTTTTATGACAAAATTGAGTTCAGCTTTTAGGATACAAAGGCAGTCTGGTGACTGGGATTTGCTTAACCCTGGTGTACATTATGTGCTTTTGTTACATGCTTTTCTCTGTTCTTGATTTTCAGAATTTCTTCCTCTATAATCTCCCCCTAGGTAGTGTGCATCCTGTCCAGTATTAACAAGATGAAATACGATGCTATAAAGAAGTACCTGTGCCTGGACGTGCCCATCCCCAGCCAGTGTGTGGTCGCCAGGACCCTGAGCAAACCGCAGACTATCATGTCTGTCTGTACCAAGATTGCCCTTCAAATGAACTGTAAACTGGGAGGGGAGCTTTGGAGTGTGGAGATACCGGCAAGTCAAGTATTTCTCCTGAATAAGAAAACAATTTCCATGGGTTCATTTAATTTAGAGCCACATGATTATAATGTTTTAATACCCCAATACTAGCTACATGAACACTGTAGGCACAGTTTGCAACTGTAGGCGACATGCCATGGCAAAACGGTTCAGCTTTGCAATGCCATGTGCCTTATCTAAGCTGCATAGGCTCCATAACTACCATGCATTTTAAGTTTATATTGGTTTCTATATTTTAGCTTTTTTAAGAAATGTCTATTTTACATTTTTTGCCTACTGGAAATGTTGGCATTTTTGGCCCAGAGGGGTCCAACCCGACTGGGTAGTTAAGGGCCCATTCACACCATATCCAGATAATCTCCAGACCAGATTGTTTCCGGACCCTAATGTATCCCTATGCTATTTTTGGCCTCTGTTCACACAAGCGCAGTCCGTACCAGACCAGAAAAATACTGCAGGTCTCATTTGGTCTGGTCTGAAACTCACTGCAACTGCAGGCAGGTTCACACCATTTTCCGGACACGATCTGGTCCGGAAAATGATGTGAATCTACCCTCAGCCTATAACACTGGAAGTGTATTCCGGGCACAGGACAGTTTTGAATTTCTGACATGATGGACACATAATTTTGGACTTATCGAACATAACAAAAACTTTCAATGGTATATTTTTAACAGGCCAAAAGGAAGCAAATTGAAGATTTTCATCAACAGGGTTTACATACACGTTAACAAAATCTGTGGAGTAGCCCCTTGTAAACTCTAGTTGCCTTGCTGTCATACCTCTTGCTTCAATACATTGTCACTGACCCATTTGTTGTGCTCTCTTGCAGGTGGAAAAGATGATGGTAATTGGAATTGATATCTATCATGATACCTTGTCAGGAAAAAGATCAATTGCTGGTTTTGTCGCCAGCATGAACAAAGGAATGACTCGGTAAGATGACGGCTGTGTGAGGGTATTGCTGTCTGCTGATTAAGATTCCAGGAAAGCATAAAGCTTTCCAGCCAAAGTGTATAAAGATAAAAATTGCACCTATACTTTTAACGAGAGATGTTATGGAGCAAAAGAAGATAGGAAAGGGGAAATGCAATGCTTTTTCAGTTGAGGTTTATTTGCGAGTGTATAATGTCACACCCTATTGATTATGCAAGTTATCATGGCTGCTTTTGGAATTTGGAACATGAGAGAATTGAGCATCACTTTTTTTGCTGTGAGAAAAGGAAGAGATGAGCTAACAGGATCGAAGGTTAATACTAGGCATGCACCGATGCTAGTATCTGTGCCGATACCGATTATTTGGGCTAGTACTCTTACTCGACCAAAAGCTTCTAATACTTATCCCCATACCAGGGCTTCCGGCTTCCTGATTGGCCGGGAAGCTGGCTTTATGCTCCCTCGTCACCAGGGAGCATGGAACTGGCTTCCTGGTGAATTAGGAAGCCGGGGGGTGGGTGAGGACTCGTCCCCCGGCTTCCCGATTGGCCGGTAAGCCAGCTCCTTCGACAAATGACGAGAGAGCATGGAGCCGGCTTTCCGGGCAATCAGGAAGCCAGTCGGCGTGTAGTGACTCTGTATGTAATGGTTGGGAAGCTGGCCAATTAGGAAGCCGGGCAGCGAGTCATTACCTGCACCCCGGCTTCCTGATTGGCCAGAAAGCCTGCTCCATGCTTCCTCGTCACCAGGTGACGCGCATTAATGGAAATACGTAAAAATGCAAAACACGCTTGTGTTGCCATTAATTTCAACTGGCATCCCAACTCGATGTGGAACGCATGTTGCAAAATTTGCTACATTACTGTTTTTGCCACATTTGTTGCACGTTCAAGACCCAATTGAACTCAATGGGGATGCGCAGCAAATACAGCACAAAAACGCAATGCATGTTCCCAGAACACCAATGTTCTTGTCCGGTTCTGGGATTTTTTTCATCTCGAGGGAATTTCCATTATCAAATATTTAGACATTTTACTTTGCGAATAGTCTCTTCCTACTTTGGAGCTTTATGTCTAGACGGTGCTGTGGACATTACAGGACTTCAGGTCAGTTCTGAACATTGAGGCGTCATCCGTAGTTCCGTCACATCGCTTGAGTATTTTGGTCTTTTATTGGATACCCTTAAAGCAAAAGTCACCATTTCTCTGATAACCTACATGAGAATACTGGGATTGATGGTGGCAACCTTCAAAGTGGTACCCTTTTTGCTCAGTTCCATTCCAGGACTTTTACAAAGGAACATTCTTGCAGCATAGGACAAGTCTCCTCCTATTGCTGGACAAGATGTCTCTGTTGTAGTGGTTTTATGATGGTGTCACTTGCACTACTTATAGCAATTGGACCTTGATTAATGGTGGTGCTCGTAGTGGTGCTGTGTGGCCCGTGGTCAGTAAGGTACTGACTTCCTGTCTAGTCAACAAGACAGTGATAGGAATTTTCCCACTAGGAACATAGCTGGCGGTAAAAAAACTGGTTATATCCCTTCTCAACTTTATACAGAAATAAACCTGAGACTTAGAAAATACACCCAAACTTCATCAGTAGGAGGACATCATCTTCTTCTTCTGCCCACCTCCTTTGCAGCCTTTAGCTCAAAGAATGACCTCATACAGCTCGAGGCTTCTTGAGCTGAGCAAACAAGTCGTGGGTGACATGCCTGCCATGGGCTTCATTCCTCACCAAAACACTCCCAACAGTACAATTGCAGACCAAACTACTTCATGTGTCAATATTCAACAAAACTTTGCTCCAAGCAGTTCAGACTGTGATCCTCGCCTGTTACATTTGGCCAACTACAGGCTCAGTTGGAGAGGACTATAACCCTTCATAACTGTATCCAAAATGTTAAAGTGACATTAAACCCTCAGATTTTTTTAACATAAACCAATACTGTAATGTGCGCCTTACTGTAATCCATGGTAGTTTCCCTTCTCTTTGCTGCTCTTCCTTTTAAATCCTTATTTCTTCTCATGCTGGGGGAGAACTTCCCTTTGCAGCTGAGTGCCTCTTCCTGTAGTGCTGGCTCAGGTTGTGAACCTTTACACACAGACACCATGTATCCATTTCAGAGACAAGGCAGTCTGCTGCAAAACCGAAGTTCTGACCAGCATGAGAAGAGATACAGATTTAAAAGGAAGAGCAGCAAAGAGAAGAGAAACAACCATGGATTACAGTAAGGCACACATTACAGTATTGTTTTATGTTAAAAATCTGAGGGTTTAATGTTTACACTTCCAAAATACAATAAATCTTCATCACAAGAACAACTGCAACTCTTTCCTTTACCTTCCACCTACGTAGCATTGTTTACTACAAAATGACAGGTGCACTTTCGAACTACTACTTCATCTACGTAATGCTGACTGTGTTAATCCTGCCCTAAGCATACAATATTTCTAAAGACTAGCTTTCCATTTGGTTTATTTAATGCTTTCAGTTTTTTTTATTTTGACAAGTGATTCTCTGTTTCATTCCAGTTGGTTTTCCCAATGTGTGGTCCAGGACAAAAAGCAAGAGATTGTCGATGGCCTTAAGGTCTGCATGCAAGGTAAGATGATCAAATCGGTTGACTAAATACCATAACCCATCTGAGGATTCCATGTTTAGATCATGATCCATACACCATCTCATTGTGAATGTCAGTGTTTGGATTTGTCAAGTTGTCTTCTCTTCCAATGTTATATTAGTGTCTCCCTTATATTATTTAGTGCTAGCAACGTTACAGCGGCCATACTTCAGATAAATAAGCCATAAGGTGCATGTGGAGGTCCAAGGATTGATGACTGTTTTTTGTTTAATATACAGGTGGCTCTGGAAATTTAGTCTAGTTTGTGTACATTTTTTTGGATACCCCTCTACCAACAAACAGTTTTTCGCTGTCCTTTTTGTATTTAGCACTGATGCTTTATTTGTGATTTTATGATGCAAACTAATACGAAGCCAAATACTTATCCTTGACCTAACTCAGCCTATTACACCTTCATGACCAGATGTCAATGAAGCCTAGATGTTCTCCATAGCAGCATTGGTTAACGTCACAATAACTCTGTGACCAATTGTCCATACTATTTTTGCATGTTTTAAGGCTTTTATTAGATACCCAACCCTAGGAAGGCGCAGCTTTTATTATAAGCTAATGTGGTAACATTTAAAAAAAAATGCTTTATGTGCCAAAAGGTTTTCAGGTGCTAGGCCTGCAGTAGTACCAATAAAAGCAGGAGTGGGCCAGTACACCAGTTAAGAGTACTGCAAAATCTTTCAGCAACTTCATGTCAAAGGTCATGTCAAAAGGACCAAGGTTTCGGAGACACGGATCCCTTTTTTTTTTTCTTCCAAAAAGGATTTGTGAACAAACCCAAGTGATCACCATAATTGGCTGTTTTTTGAAGACATGATCAAGAACAAGTCCTGAGTGGTTTCCAATAATTGTCAACCAGCAGATGTCAGTGACGCTCAACTTTGGGCACATATAGCTGCTTTTTGTTCCACAATAGTACACAGAACATTAACACCTAGAAGGCTGCAATCTGTAGATCAAACGAAGGGTTCTGTGCTGCCCCCCATGTGTCACATGTCAGTACAGGGACATCTTTCTCTTCCCCTGTTCCCTGGGCAGTCCTCACTTGACTCCAGCACCACTCTCTGCATCAGTACACTGTGAATGAATGGAAACAAATTAGTTGGGCTTTGAAGGACATCCGCTCTTATAATAATAACACACTTTGGAAATCCTATGTGTAAAATGTTTAGTGCATAAGGGTAAGTTTTAGAAGCAGAATTGTCAGTTTTAAATTTGATGGTCTGTAGTATCCTGAACCACATAGTAACCATGGCATGGTCCCAGTCTCCAAAACCGCTATTGTGTATTGTGGGCCACAGGCCTGTGATTTGCTGGTTTACAGTAAAAAATATCTTGCAGATCACAAACCCACCTCCTCATATCCTGTCTGCATTCTGGGTGTGGCAGAAAAGCTCTGCCATTTGGCCACCAAGAACTCGGGGCACCACAATCAAGCTAAATCCAAACCAGCATTTCTGCTGCTGGAATTCGCATATGCTTAACCTAATGCAATTTTAGCTGTCCTGTCAGTCCGCCAAAATGCTAACACTAATACCGTAGGATCACAAAGAGAATATTATCATTCCAATACTATCACTTAAAATGCATTGCACTAAAATAACTATTCCACATTGATATATCAAGAACAGCTGATCTAAAATGTGGCACTATACACATGACAAACTGTCCTTTGCTAAATGCAACTGATTAGTTTTGGTCCTGCAAGAACAACAGTTAAAATGACTGCAAATATCTGTATTTTGTTCAGGTGCCCTCCATTCCTGGTTTAAGGTCAATGGCACTCTGCCCAACCGTATTGTCATATACCGTGATGGTGTGGGTGATGGTCAACTGAAGACTCTGGTCAGCTATGAAGTGCCACAGTTTCTGGACTGCATCAAGTCGGCAGGCAAAGATTACGCGTAAGGGTTTTTTTGTTTGCACCCCTCAGTGTGTAATAACTATCTGATTGCCATACATTTCCCATGTAACATGTTTTGTGATGGCTGTCTCCTTTTTTTTTCCCTCTCATTCAGCCCTAAAATGACACTTGTGGTGGTGAAGAAAAGGATCAATGCCAGGTTCTTTGCTGTCGTGGGGGGCCGGCTCCAGAATCCACCTCCAGGAACAATAGTTGATACTGAAGTCACCAGACCTGAATGGTACTTAACCTGACGGATCCTCTTTGAAAAACAGTTTCTTATGCATTTATCTTGTTACTGCTGCATGACATTTGAGATAAGTGACGCTTTTTTAGTAATCCTGTAATGGGGAAATTCAAACTGAGCACGGGGAAAAATATATATTAACATATGTCATCTTCACTGAAAACTGCATGCCAGTCTGTCGGTAGATCCATGGATGTAGGCAGCTGAACTTGGATGTAATTCATGATTTTGTTTGCACTAAAACCCTTTTTTTTCTTGTTCATTGAGAGACACCAGAATTCTTAAATCTTCAAGTTATAATGGTGCTTACAGGAGAATTGAACACTGGCAAACAAACTGTAGGCCAACCAAGGCTTTCCTTCCTGCTACCCCCCTCCATCTTTGTGGTCAAGCCTGTATTGGGTGACACTCGTTGTAGAGGGGTGTCCCAGGCATGGCTGCTCTGTTGTAAGTCCAGGTTACAAACTTTTCTCCCACCCAGCTTCTGGCCATGGCACCTAGTTGAGGGTAAAATCACAGGCTTTCTGGTGAGATCAAGCGAGGTACACTTACAGGGTTATTCACTAAAGAGTTTGGAGAAGTGAACATTCTAGGACAACATAGCTGAACTGGAGAATTTTTCCAAATCAGCTATTTTGGCCTAGATTGTTCACTTCTCCTGCCTTCTCCAAACTCGTCACCCTTTTGTGAATAGACCTGTCAGAGTCCAAAATCTCTCCACTGCTCTGGAGCGTTGTCTTGAGAGTTTTAGGATACTTTGTGTTTCCAGGATTCTAGTGGAAAGCTCATCCTCTCTTGTGAAGATGCAGAATGTAAGTTACTTTATATTTTCTAACTTTTTCACAGGTTTTTTTATTTATTGCAAATTTATTTATTGCAAATATTTTTTTAATAGTTGGGGGGGGGGGCAGTATGTAATATACAGACCTTTTTATTGCAAGGTTCACTTTCAGCAATTTATTTTGGTGGTTCAGTAATTTTAGTTTGTTACCTCTACATCCCAGCCTTCTTATTGGACAGTGAATCGACACCATCACCTGTATTCAGTGATTGAATGGCTGACCCTAGGAGGCCACAGGCCTTACTGAGTGGCAGGTGTTTGTATCGTAGAAAGGGCTTGCTAAAATGACCAATGTTGTTGGGCAGCAAATCAGTAAATATGTGTTTGTGTGTTTTAGTGGTTTGCCTGGAGCTCACCTGTGACTTTCAGCTTGCTTTGGTGCCTGACTAGACTATTTTCTTTTATACATTTAATCTCTTTTGTGGCTGCTTCTTCCACTTAGGTATGACTTCTTCATCGTCAGCCAGTCTGTGCGTCAGGGCACCGTGTCCCCAACTCACTACAACGTTGTGTATGACAGCGGAGGCCTGAAGCCAGATCATATGCAGCGACTGACTTACAAGCTCTGCCACCAGTACTACAACTGGCCTGTACGTATGACTGGAAGAAAATGTTTTCTTAAAGTAGAATTACATATTCTTGATCAAACTTCACAGGATCTTAGGTTATGCATCTGATGTGGTTGGACACTGGCAAATCAAAGCTGCTATGACAGCCCATTATAACCCCTTTCACTCCCAGTATGCCTTTGTTGTTTGCGAGTGTCCTTAGATGTTGGAGTACATCCTTTTCTGCTCAAGACCCTTCTAGAAAGTTTCCCTAAGCTGCTCATGGCCACTGCAGCACCAAAAAGCCGATATCTGGATCAGTTTTTGTCCTTGGCAAAGCCTTTGGTTACTGTACCTAAAACCCACCAGTAGTAAGATGTAGCCAGCCTGCAATGTTCTTGGGGCACTAGATCCTGCATTTGGGAACTCAGCAGGGCACTTTGCTGCATGGTGCTTTTACAGGCCCTATTTTTGTCTATTTTGATGGAGCCCTGTCCCTAAAGACCCCCTCCAGGGAGACGTATAGCCATTGTGAGGGTCATGACTGGATGCAACATATCCCCTTTAAATGACTGGCCATTGCTGCTCTAAGAGTTAGTAAGCCAAGGCTAATCCCAGCTGAAGGTTGCCCAAGTAAAAAAAAGCAACGACATGTACACCTGGTAACTATAGGCCATTGAGCTTTAGATCGATAGTGTGCTAATTATTTGAGGGTATGGTAAGGGATTATATACAAAAACATGCCTATGGAAATAGGATTGTAAGTAACAACCAACATGAATTTATGAAGGAACGTTGTTGCCAGACCGACCTATTGACGTTCTATGAGGAAGTGAGTAGAGATTTAGACATAACTAGCCCTGTAGACATTGTGTATTCAGACTTTGCTAAAGGAGTATCCCACAAACGTCTCATTTACAAATTAGGATCCATCGGTCCATCTTGACTGGCTCCACTGCTCTAAAACGGCATGAGCTCCTGCCTTTGGCTTTAACAGCCTGGCTGTTGAAGGACAGAGGTCTCTGGAAAGTTCTCATCCTTATGCTTCTGAAAGCTAAGAAGTTGACATTCTGCAAGGTCTACCAGCACACCTGGACAGGCTATTTTTCTTGGTGCAAAGTGAGGACGTACTCCATGGGATGAATATTATCTTTCCTCCAGTCTGGTTTAGATCAGCATTTATCCTTGAGATCAAGAGCCAAATGTCTGCCTTTGCGATTTCTTTTCCAGAGGCCCCTTGCTTCTCTTTCTTGAAGGCCTTTGTGCAGGGAGTCGCTCAAATTGTCTCCCCTGTACACATTCCAGTGACTCTGTAGAATCTTAGTTCTCTCAACTCTGCAGAAGATCCCCCTTGAACCCCTCCAGAGACATTCTTTGACCCTACTCACTAGCAAGGTTGCCTTTCTTATCACCATTACTTCTGCTAGGCTTGTTTCGGAGTTGGAGGCCATGATGCGTAAGATAGTGCGGTAGTAATGAGACCCTAGTCGTCCTTTCTTCCTAAGGTGGTTTCTGCCGTCCACCTTGACCAGGATATTGCTTTACCATCCTCATGTCCTGTACCAAAACGTCTCTAAAGATGTTTCTCATTACTGTTTGGAAATGGTTCATGCTGTGTGAGTAAACTTCTCTGCTACAGCGCCTATCCGCAAGTCTGACTTCCTCTTTGTCATTCCTGAGGTCCCCTTAATGGGGTGGCCAGCCCATTAAGGGGGCCTCAGGAACGACAAGATTTAACTTCTTGTGTCTTGTGCACAATTAAGAAAACACATTTTTTTCTAACCTGTAAAAAAACATTCTGTAAATCACAGGACCCTCCACTCTGGTTTCTCTGATTCCCTCTTGAGAGGGAAGAGGCCAGTCAGTAAGCCCCAATCCCAGCAAAGCCATTTGCGGGTTGGCCCTGCAAGGAATGAGAGTAACCGCTTGAACAAATTGAAAAACCGAGACCCAGTATTGTTGGAGCAAAGGGCACTGCCACCAAATATGAGGAAGTGTACCCCTCTGACCACACTGTCTCCAACAGAAGAAAGAGGTAGATGGGAAGATCTTGGCTAGTTTGTGCGGATTATAGTACCATTTGTGGAGTATCTTTTGGACAGATTCCCAGTGCGACAGGCATCTTGAAGCCTTTAGGGGCCAAACTATGGTTTGATGCCACTGCGTAGCCGATAAGGTAAATCCCAATTCCTTTTCCCACCCTTCCATGGCAGGAAGTTTCGATTCCTCCACAGGGGTAACTAGCAATTTATAGAAAAATTAGATACCCTTCATTTGTAAAGTAGCTCTAGTGATAAAGGAGATGGTTTGTCTGTGGAGATCAGTATCTCTCATCCGAGCTGAGGTCAGGAAATGTCTGACTCTGAGGTATTTATAAAAGTCTCTGGGTGGTATGTTATACTGCCAGCTTAAAGATTCAAAAGAGCCTAGAGTAGCGCCAGAGAATAGTTGATTAAGTCGGGTAATACCCAAAGCACGCCAATGAGAGACACCCCGATCCTCCAGCACATGGTCCAATGTAGAGATAGGGATATTTTGAAGGGCATAACAATTAGGCTGGGTTCACACCTGAGCGTTTTTTTCAGTTAGTTTTTTGCGCGTTTTTCCGTTTCAGCGCGTTTCACTGGCAGTGTGTTTTTTTGTTTTTTTTTCTCTTTTTTTTTGTTGCACTTTTAAACTTCCCGCCGGCAGCCCCCCTGCGACGCGGCCGCTCGCAAGGGACGGAACCCGGAAGTCGGCAGCCGCCGGAAGACACAGCGGGGATCACGGACAAGGTAAGACATATTCAAACTTTTATATCAAAACAGACCAACACAAACACATCTATATATATGGCTGCATTCGGCTAGTAACTCTAAGGCAGTATATTATGGAAAAACAATATGGAGACACACCATGTGAGTGCCTTCTGAAGGAAAAAAAACTGATATCCAAAGTATGTAATGTGTGTATATATATATATATATGATTTGTCTTAGGAGTCCTCATATGAATGGGAAAAATAACCCATGTTTGTGGAGAGGAAGGAAAAAACGACAGAGCTCTGTACTATGGAAAGATACCATTCATATACAGGTGAAACTCGAATAATTAGAATATCGTGCAAAGTTCATTTATTTCACTAATGCAACTTAAAAGGTGAAACTAATATATGAGATAGACTCATTACATGCAAAGCAAGATAATTCAAGCCGTGATTTGTCATAATTGTGATGATTATGGCTTACAGCTCATGAAAACCCCAAATCCACAACCTCAAAAAAGTAGATTATTACATGCAATCAATAAAACAAGGATTGTACATAGAACAATATCGGACCTCTGAAAAGTACAAGCATGCATATGTACTCAGTACTTGGTTTGGGCCCCTTTTGCAGCACTTACTGCAATTACTTTTGCACGATATTCTAATCGAGTTTCACCTGTATATGAAAACAAAAACGAAAAAAAGGACGAAAAAAGTCACTATCAGGATGTAAGAACTATATAGAATATAATTCAACTCACGATGGAATCTGTCCTCATTTGGAGGGTCGAATTTCAGAGAGGGAAAGTGGTGTTCCCGTGATTATGATGGCATCCGGTCAAAAAGGAACAGGAGATTCAGGAGATGTAGCTGTATCTCGGCTTTGTATGTTAGATGTTATTGGTCGTTGGCTTTACTGAATTCCCGTATTTATTCCATGGGGTTTGTTTTTCTTTCCAAGATGGTTGAAGGAAAAAGGAGTCCGTGATGGAATAGACGGACAGAAACCAGATGACGTCCTTTTTGAATAATGCAGAGTGACTTAGTGTCCTTATTTCTTTGGTTGGTCTGTGGAGCTCAAAAGGAGAGAGCCGGCAAATATGTAGTGCATGCTTAATTAAAAGCTATACAAATTTCAGGAGATAGCACTATCTCAGCTTTTCTATCCGTAGTGGATATGAGCCTTCACTGAAATATAACAGCTCCTCCTTTTCCTCCTTTGTCCAAGGGAGACTCTGATCAAACAGGTTCTTAATCAAAAAAACAACAAATTCAACTTTCTAATGGATAGAGGTTCCAGGCAGAAGGACATACATGGGGGCCTCAGCCGAAGCAGCCAGGCAAAGAAAACCTTCACTGAGCGCCTATGACGTGTTTCACCCCCTCCCACACCGGGGCTTCATCAGAAGGGCGTTGTTCAGTGGAGGCTTGGTGATTCTTTCTTCTAGATATATGGGTTTGTAATTGACTTAATCAGGTAACGTGTGAGACACATTTGATGCGTATCACATTTCTAATTGTGTCCCCAGTGGGCAAATTTTTTCAACCGGAAAGATGTTCGGTGTTAAAATTCATATTAAACAGTTTATATATA